CTTCGTTTGGTCTGGAGGTGTTTCTGGATCATAAACGCTATTTTCTTTTTTGACGTAAAAGGTTCTCGGGGTTTTGGTAGAATTTGTGACGGTCACGCGGACTTTCGACTCAGGTGTTTAACGAGAACACAAGCATTTTAATTACGGAGAGCCTTGGGCGAACAGATAAGATGACGAAAATGAACAAACAAACAAACAAGGTAACAAAAAAACATCACACATCCCGCAGAACTTGATTGTCATGCTGCAACAATAGCGTCACGGAGGAAACTTTGAGATTCTCGCTCTTTCTTTATAATGAAATGTACAGTTGTGCTACATTTTCTTTAAATTACTTTTGTTTGACTCTCCTCTTTTGATTCTTAACCATGTTTTCCAGCGCATTACAATCGATATTATCTCATTTCCAGCTATGGCGGAAAGTAACCTCCCAACAACAGGAGAGGAACTGGAGGTGAAAAATGAGCTTCCGGCCACAGGTGAGAAACAGGCTTGTAATGCATGCAAGAGGTATTCTTCTGAATGGCCTGGTTGGGATGAGACACTTCTTTTCAACTTTTTATACGAAAAAGATTATTAACTTCAAAGTTTCCAACAAATTCAGAGTTCAAGAAAAAGCGAAAAAGAAAGACTCATCTAATTTAGATGAAATCAAACCAGACACAGGTATTTTGAGTTCTGATGTTACTGTTCTTCGAACAATTCTGAGCAGAAGTAAACTACGCTTGTGCCCCGCTTACTGTAGTTTCCTCTGCAGCTGTTGTTTGATCTTGTCACGCAGCCTGCTCTCTCCCCCATGACGTGACGAGATCAAACAGTGGATGCGATTAAGATTTCTCTAGCTTGCGAGTAGGCCCGTATAGTAGGCTTTTTAAAAATGTGCTCCAGGCTTTTATTATCGATGCTTCGAGACGTGAATTTAAGAGTTTTACCGCTGTAAGCACACCAAAACCCCATTTTATCTTTAAGAGACCTTAACCGAAGATATTTTGCAGTCTCTGGTTTTTAAATAAGTAAAAATACATTGAACGAAGAGAGAAAAGAGTCATATATTAAAGACTTTTATAAAGAAAAAAAATTAACTCAAAAAGCGATAGAGAAGGACTTCTTTATGGTAATTTTGGAGTTAGTTAAGACCACATCAACTTTAAGTTCTAAGGAATTTTAAAAACTCGCATATATCATATGTGACGTGGAGGGCTTAAGTGCATTTGATCAATGGTTGGAATTGCACATGATTGTGATAACTGATTACATTAAACATTTTCTTGGTAATTTTAGCAACAGAGGAAAGTCAAGTTACTTCATGTGACTCTAAACTGGGTGTATGTGATGACCTTTTGAGAGGTGAGAAAAGAAGGTGAAATCAGATTTTCTTTACAAGATGCCCGCAGTATAGTCTTTGACACATTTGGATCAAGTTTGATACTGTTCTCTAGATAACTTTAGAAACAGGAAAAATGTAGCTCCTCCGATTTAAAACTTTATCGCTATTAGATAAAATAAAATCGCTCGACCACGCGCAATCTGTTCAAGGTGTTTAGTCGTATGCAGACACACGGATTGAATGTCGACACTAAATCAATAGCACTACAGATAAATGGAAAACACAAACAAATAAAAACAAAAAACAAAAAAAAGAAAATAGGGAAAAAATAAAGAAGCGTTTTACTTATGAGTGATACATTTCAACATTTCAATCAAAAACAAATTATCCGACCCTTAACGCGGTTTGTTTTCAGGGATAGCAAAAGAATGTCTCGAGACAGGAAACAAAGAATTCAGACATGGAGAAATTAATAACGCGATTAACTCCTACACTGAGGGACTTCAAGTCAACTGCAAAGATAAACGGTTAAACGCCAAGCTTTATAGCAATAGGGCGGCAGCTCATTTTCATTCGGGTAAGGATTTTATTTCAAACTTCTGAGTTTGTCATGCAGCGATGGATAATGGAATACGCAATCTCCTTTAATCAAAGACATGACTCTAGCAAGTGAACCACAATCTGAAAAATTGCATCAAAGAAGACGAGCCAATGCACCCCAGATGCTAGCTGGGATAGGAGACCACAAGTTGGGAGCGAGGCAAATTTTATAGGGTTATTTTTTTACTATGGGAATCTGATCACAATATGAACTAATTAAATTTCGTTTTTCATGACCCCGGATAAAAATCGATTAAATAAATGTTCCTTGCAGATTTAAGCGATTGCATTTTTTTTAAGGCCCCTTTTCTGCATTTGCGTATAATGACCATCTAAAACTCACCTCGTGAATTCCATAGGAAATCACCAGGAGTGTGTTGATGATGCAACATCTGCTGTTCAGTTGGGACCCAGTTTAATCAAAGCTATCAAGAAAGGTGGGTTCTCAGCCATAGGTCATCAAAACTCTTTTCTATGATTCCAAAGGGAATTGTGTGAATCACGGCAGGCGACTGCACACGAGTTGTCCATGATAACTGCAGTATTAACGTCTGCTATATAGGTAAAAAGCACTATTAAAGGTCCATAAGCTTTCAATTGAGTCTTCGTTGGAAGCTGCTTTCCATTAGCCTCTTATATTCCATTTTCAGTAATTCCACAATTCAAATTTTCGTCATTATTAAAATTTCTTTTTCGAGCTTAAGAAAAATGTATTCATTTTTTGCATACGGCTTTACCTTAACGTCAATAGCTACCTTGCACCACTAATTGTTGCCTTCTTTTTAGGAGCCAGTGCTTGTCTCGAGCTTTCTTTGTATAAAGAAGCAAGACGCTGGCTGCATATGGGATTAGCCGTATCCTTTGACGAATGTTTCAAACGTGTTACAAGAAGCTACGCAAGAAATGTTTCTAGGAAATTGCCATGTTCCGTTCAGATTCGTCTACAATTAAAGTAAGCGATTTTCATTTACACCGCACTGAGTAGTTATTAGGATCTAAAGTATTCCGTCAAAGGCGTATTTTAATTAGTGTACAAAATCCACTTTAAAAAAATTTCATTTCAAAAACTCATTCAAACGTTTCAAGCTAAAGAACCCTAATTTTTGACTCTAGACCAGTACCACCTTGACACTCAGAACTAAACAAACCACTGCGCCTCAAGGTTGNTTCAAGTTATGGCAATCTCGGCAACGCTTATCAAGGTCTAGGACAGTTCAAAACAGCAATCGGGTACCATCAACGTCATCTAGAATTTGCGAAAGAAGTGGGAGACAAGGCCGGAGAGGGAAAAAGTTATGGCAATCTCGGCAACGCTTATCAAGGTCTAGGACAGTTCAAAACAGCAATCGGGTACCATCAACGTCATCTAGAAATTGCTAAAGAAGTGGGAGACAAGGCCGGAGAGGGAAAAAGCTATTGTAATCTCGGCAACGCTTATCAAGGTCTAGGACAGTTCAAAACAGCAATCGGGTACCATCAACGTCATCTAGAATTTGCGAAAGAAGTGGGAGACAAGGCCGGAGAGGGAAAAAGTTATGGCAATCTCGGCAACGCTTATCAAGGTCTAGGACAGTTCAAAACAGCAATCGGGTACCATCAACGTCATCTGGAAATTGCTAAAGAAGTGGGAGACAAGGCCAGAGAGGGAAAAAGTTATTGCAATCTCGGCAACGCTTATGACGGTCTAGGACAGTTCAAAACAGCAATCGGGTACCATCAACGTGATCTGGAAATTGCTAAAGAAGTGGGAGACAAGGCCGGAGAGGGAATCAGTTATTGCAATCTCGGCAACGCACATCTCGGTCTAGGACAGTTCAAAACAGCAATCGGGTACTATCAACGTGATCTAGGAATTGCTAAAGAAGTAGGAGACAAGGCTGGCGAGGGAAAAAGTTATGACTGTCTTGGTATTATTTATTGCTGTCTAAGACAGTTCCAAACAGCAATCTGGTACCATCAACGTGGTCTAGAAATTGCTAAAGAAGCGGGAGACAAAGCCGGAGAGGGGAGAGTGTATTGCCATCTAGGCAAGGACTATCATGGTCTAGAGCAGTTGAAAGCAGCAATGGAGTACTATCAACGTCATCTAGAGATTGCTAAAGAAGTGGGAGACGCGACTGCAGAGGCATGCTCACTCTCTTCTCTTGGTTCAATCTTTGGGTGCCTAGGAAATTTTTCCAAGGCGTTTGTGTGCTTTCGGATGAGTGTAGAGGTGTATGATTATATCAGGGCCAGTCTTCAATTCAACGATCAGTGGAAGATTTCTTACCGCAATCAACACCAGCAAGCGTACAAAGGTTTGTGGCGTACAAATCTATTGCAAGGCAACGTCGTAGAGGCTCTTCTTACCGCAGAAGAAGGACGTGCTCAGTCTCTGAGAGATCTCCTGGACACAATATATCAGCCTGGACATTCATCAACAAACAGCACTTCGGACAACACTTTTCTGAGTTGTGTTCCGTCGAGCACAGTTTTCATGGCTATAAGTGGTCCTTGCGTTTACTTCTGGGTAATCCTTAGTAATGATAATATCCAGATGAGAAAGGTACATGTAAATGATTTCAAGTATGAGGATGATTTGAAAATTTTTATTGAGCAACTTAACAAAACTGCGCTTGAGGAGATTGGTGTAGAAGAAAGTGTTAAACGCGAAAATCCCTCGCTTGATTTGCCGAAACGGGAGGAGATGGCGAGCGATGTCATCCCAATTAATGTGTGGAACTCGGAATCCAGGGCTTTACAGAAGCTTCATGACATCATCGTTACTCCTATTGCTGATTTGATCAAAGAAGGTAAAGAGCTTACATTTGTTCCTGAGGGACCATTTTGCCTTATACCTTACGCAGCATTGGAAGACTCCAACTCAACATATCTAAGTGATTCTTTCAGAATTCGCGTGCTTCCATCCTTGACGACGTTACAATTAATTCATGATTGCCCAGCTCAATTCCACACGACGACTGGTGCATTGCTTGTTGGAGACCCATGTTTCAAAGATATCATCTATGAGAGAAGAAGTTTGATACAACTTCCTGGAGCAAAGAAAGAAGTGGAGATGATCGGACGTATCCTCAATATCGCCTCTCTCACTGGAGAAATGGCAACAAAAGATGAAGTGTTAAAACGAATGTCATCGGTGGCGTTAGTACACATTGCAACGCATGGTAAGATGGAAACTGGAGAGGTTTTCCTGGCACCCAACACCACAAGAGAAAACCCAAATCCTCAAGAGAAGGACTACCTCATGACGATGGAGGATGTGGTACAAGCTGGGCTGCGGGCACGACTTGTTGTATTGAGTTGCTGTTACACTGCTCGAGGGGAGATCATGGATGAGGGTGTGGTAGGCATCGCGCGAGCACTTTTAGGTGCTGGTGCTAGATCTGTTGTGGCAACCTTATGGGCGATTGACGACGAGGGAACTCTGGAGTTCATGAGTTTCTTCTATGATGCGCTTGTTAAAGGAAAGAAGACAAGTGAAGCTCTCAATCAGGCCATGAAGTGTATGAGAGAATTTGAAGTGTTCAAGGAGGCGAAGTACTGGGCACCATTTGTACTCATTGGTGATGACGTCAGCCTGGATTTCAAGGATATTTTGACGCTGAAGCAGGTAACTATTCTGTTTATAGTTTTTGCTCATAGAAATGAAAAAGTAACTCTAAATCATAATTCATTGTTTATATTTGAGCGCTGATACTTTTGCCGTTATTTTGCTTCTAATCGGGTTAAAAGTTAATCTTTGTTTGCTCCAGCGAATTGAGATGCAATACAATAGAGTGGACAAATCTACGATGACAACAATCTTTTAGAAAAGATGAAAGGAGTGAAAAAAGGAAATATCTAATGTGAAAATCTTGTTGTGTAGTGCCTCTTTTCATGTTTTAAGAAAATCTTATGGCAGCTCAACGATCTTCTTTAACTTCAGATTCGTTAATGTTTACAGCTAAACAAGTGAGCATCGGAATCCCGGGGAGTTTGCAGCTACCTACAAACCCTAAGATACCGATTACGTATCTGTCAAGAGTCTTCTTTGTAAAGCAGGAAGAACCAAAAGACAGCCAACCTCAAGGTCAACAAGTGCCTTTATGGACTTCCATTGCCTCAAAAATTGAACTGTTGTAGACTTTTGGACACTCAAAAGGAGAAGTGTTTTAATTTTGATATCGTGCTCAAATTCCTATACACATTTTTTTTAATGACAACTTTTGAAATTATCGCGACTAGCTATATGAAAAGTAACCCTTGTTATGTAACATAAATTAAGTAGTTATCCATTAACAGGATTTTAGGCGTAACATTTACGTCGAAGTTAAAACGGCTTGAAAACTTTTCCAAAATTTGTTTTTACAGATTTTTTCAACAGTTTTTGCTCCTGAGTGATAAGACTGTTACAGTCATATGCATGTATGGAGAATTTCCATTGGACTTGGAGAATAATCGCTTGTCACATTGCTCGATTATCTTAGTGAATCTTAGTTTATTTCAGATGAAAACAGGTGGCTAATAGTTCGAGGATCTTTACCTATCGGTGCTTAACAAAGTTATTTTAATTTACGGTGGGAAAATTTCAGATTTTGACCTTTATGGCCACAAGTTCGTCTTAAGGATTAATATTTTCTCCTTTACGCTTGAATGTAATATATTTTTTTTTTCGTATATTTCGACGAATTTTTAGGATGCTGTTGAAACTAGTTGTCCAAAGGTAAAACGAGATTTAACTTTTTTTTAATTTTGTTATTGACCAGCTTTAAAATTGTGTATCCCGCAAAGTATCGAAAGAAGCTCAGAGACTGCAAGAGAAACTTAATTATATTTACTGTGCCACTGAGGAAATTTTAAAGTATCTTAAGTCTCTCAAAACGAACAATTTTAAAATCTTGTGCGTTCGAATTGGCGCCTTCGATCTCATTCCTGGTTAACAAATCTTTCCCATTAGGTGATTTTCCCGAAGATTGGAGATCACCTGACATTGTCCTACTTCATAAGAAAGGTTCTAAATACTTCAGGGAGAGTTATCGTCCAATTTCGTTTGCATCTATGATATGCGAAATGAGCGAAAAAATTTTACACGATAGGTTAGCGTCGTTTTGGCATGACCAAAACGTGATAAAAAAAAACCAATTTAGTTTTCTGCAGGGTAGGTCAACTGTGATCCTATTAGTCTCTAATTTTCATGACTTCGCCAGATCTAGGAATTCATCTGTAGCAACAGATGTTGTATTTCTTGATCTCGCAAAGGCTTTTCATAGTGTTCCTAATGAACGCCTACTCATAGAGTTATATAGTCTCGGTATTGAGGGCAAACTTTTTAATTTGTTGAGGCATTTCCTCACGTGTAGAAGCCAACGAATTGTTGTAAGAGGAACTTTTTCTGATTGGGCACCCTGTGATATCTGGTACCCCACAAGGAACTATTCTTGGTCCAATTCTATTTTTATCATATATAAATGATATCGTTGATTGTGTTTCTTATAAAATAAAATTATTTGCGGATGACACAGTGATTTACAAAAAGCTTCGCAACCCTAGTCTAGATGATCAATACTTCCAAACTGATTTGAATTATCTTAGTAATTGGGCGAAAAAATGGCAACTTTGTTTCAATGAGGACAAGTGTGAAGAAATGCGAATAACGCATTCTCGTGACGAATCGACTACAAATTATAAACTAGGTACGGCCTTAAAAGATGTCAAGAGCTTTAAAGACCTTGGAATTTTATATCAAAAGATCTTACTTGGAGTGAACATATTAGTACTATCGTGAATAAGGCGAACCAAGTCCTAGGGCTGATAAGACGGACTGTTGGGACAGCTAATGCAAAAACTTTTTCATTGCTTTACAAAACATTGGTGAGACCACTTCTAGAGTATGCTGCTCCAGTCTGGAACCCATATCTCGTCAAAGATATTCATGCAATAGAGAGCGTGCAAAAGACGCGCGTCAAGGTTAGTTCTTAGGCAAAAAAGAGGTGATATGTCTTATGAAGAGCGTTGCGAAACGTTACATTGGCCATCTTTCTCCAGTCGTAGGACATATTCCTCTCTTGTTGAATGTTACAAGATCGTGTTTGGCTTATCACACTTGGATTTTGAGGAATTCTTTGAATTTGCAAAAGTCAAATCCACTAGGGCGAATAACTCGCATAAGCTTTCTTGTAAATTATCTAGAATTGACTGTTTTAAATGTTCTTCTTTTAACAATGTAATTAGTCATTGGAATAATGTACCTAGTAATGTTTTTGAAGCCGGTAGCCTAGAACTTTTTAAATGTAAACTTAAATCCTTTTTCAAGCCATAAATTTATGGGTTTCTTTCTTGTTTTTTTTTTGTTTGTTTTTTTCTTTGTTTGTTGTAGTTTTTGGGAGAGTTTTATTCATAGGGTTAACCTCTTGACTCTCCCTTTCAAATTTATGTAGTTATATCTGAGTTTGAATAAACATGTATGTTATGTTATGTTATATTATAATGGATTGATGATTTGAATATTGAACCCGATAGCCGTATTCGTTTAAAAAAAGGCGCGGATTATTGTTCAAATCAGAAGTCCATTTCTGTTTGGATTATGCGAACACGTGATAATGGATTGGAACTATTTCAACATGACGTCAGACATAGGGGGACATGGCGTCAGACATGCGAGTGTTGTTTAGAACTTCTTGTAAATGTTGTAAATGGAATGTTATCGAGAGCTTCTTTTCGCCTATTTACATCTTGACGAGCTTGTAGAAATTCTTGTGTGTATTTATGGCCAAAAATAAAAAATAGTTTACGGACGAAGCCATCGCAAGACTTTTTTATTTCGTTAATATTTGCGATCGACTGTTTTTGCAGTGTTTTTAAAGTGCAGTTTCTTCATTTTCAGGATTCCTCGTCAAACAGAATAATCTTATTGGACTTCAGAAATGGACTTCTAATTTCAACAATGATGCGCACCTTTTCAAAACGGATGCGGCTATCGAGTTCAATATTCAAATAATCAATCCATTATTGCATTCGTGAAAAGGCTAGTGGGTTCAATAATGAAATAATCAATTTATTATTGCATCCTTGAAACGACTGGCGGATTCAATATCTAATTGACCAATTCATTAATGTAATCTTGAGGGGTATGCTTCACTTAGTTTGACTGTAAAACCAAACTTTCATAGCAAATGAATTCATTGTTGCCGTTTATTATAAACAAGATCTTCTACAGGAGACAAACAAATTTACTCAGATTAGCATCTCTGCGGCATATCCATTGATAAAGGGCCAGGACTGGTTTCAGTTTGTAACACTCGGTAAAATTTGAGACAAATTGTATTGTGCCAAAATTTATAATTGCAACCCCCCTTGCTTCCCCCCTTATGTTGTTAATGGCACCTACAGGAGGTAAACTGGGGTCTTCAAAGCTATTGATACAGACACGAAGACAATCATTGTTTAGTAAATAAACCCCTTTGGGCGGCTGGTATGTCGGCTGATAATGTCTGCAGCTGAGAGATTGACCGAAGATGAATATTTGGCCGAGAAGCGAAGCTTCGAGGGCAAATATGAACTTTTGAGGACAATCTATCAGCCAAAGACTTTATCAGCCGACATAGCAGCAAGCCAGCACGGGGTTTATTTATTTTATAACCCTTCCATTAATTTTCACATCGTAATTAAACTGCGCGTAAACACAGTGAAAAAGCCAGTGGTGATCTGATGTCGAATGCGCGTGATTGACGCAAGCAAGTATATTTGGTTGGATTAAATAACTTTATTTTCAGTGTCATTGGACCAAAACTTGACAAGCTGTCATTTAAAATTAACTCTCATAACACCACTTACATCAAAAACTCGAACACTTGGCGCTTTTGGTTCGCATTTTCCGGCGTACTGTTCAAAAACTTGACTACAAAGAAATGTTTATCGGTCTCACCAAAAAAAATCAAATCACTTCAATTGTCACTGTTTGGTTTCCTTTCATGTAAAGAGGAGAAAGGAAAAGTTGAAACTCTTGTGTTGACTATGTTTCTTTTTCACGGAAAAAAATCGGAGGACAAATATTGACGGGAACGGGGGTTATTGCCTGATAACTGTCCTGTGTTTTTGCACCAAGTGACGTAAAGTAACCAACAAAATCGCACCAAAATTAATGGGTGGATTATAATGAAAGATAACAACTTACAAAAAGTTGGCTTGATGAGTTCCTTTCTCTGTTACTTCTTCCTGGGATCCCAAGCGATCCTGTGATAATCATCTGCAAGTAAGAAACAAGAAAACAGAATATATTGTAAACCATTCTCAGAGGTTAGTTAAAAGTTATTATCTTGCAGGGCTCGAGAAAACCCCCTTCCGGTCGTCCGGGACAAGTAGATTTTCCCATCGGGCAAGTAACTTTCTCTCCTTCCTTGCCTGACGGGCGAGGAACCAGCGGGCAAGCCGTTCGCCGACTAAATTTTTAATAAGGATTTTGAGAAGAAAAGGTAAGCTTTAGGCCCAAGGGTACGTAATCAAGTGTTTAGATAAAGCTTGAGGAAAATTACAATTTATAGCGTTGTTTAGTTGATTGCGTGACGTACGCTCACGGCTCGGAAGTGGTTGGTTAGCACGTGATCACAATCTTCCCCGATCAAAAAAGTCTCTTTCCAGGATAAAAATAGTGGCGTTGGGAACGAAAACGCTGTGTTTATTTCCTAATTGTAGCTATTTCCCGCGAGAATGTTTCGGTTTCTCTGTACAAAACTTAACTCAACAGCGACATATTAATTAAAACTATAGAAATTGTACGTGAAAACTGAGAAGTCGCATATTTCTACCGCGAAAACGAAGCTAGCCCTTTGATGCTAAAATCCAGGTAAATCTCTGGTTTCAGCGAAACATGCAAGTTGGGCGCCTCCACACTAAATAAAAAGTGTTATATTATTCAAAAGAATTGGATAAGTAAGTCATCAAAATAATTTCAAAGTTCCTGGAAGATCACTTAGAATAGTGTTTTTTTTTTTTTTCAAACGAAGACATTTTCCCTTGACTGAAACTATTTTTCATTCACCCAAATGAAATAAAATTTGCTCTACTTCAACAGTGTTCATCCATGAT